TATTCATTATTTGTATTATAACAGAGTTAATGAATTACATTCATTCATCACTAGGTTATAAGCCGATGAATCAATTATAACATATTAATTGATATAAGTCGAGACGTTTTGTTTTTAAATATTCAAAGATGCATCTGAGTAGGTTATAAGTCGATGAATCAATTTACAAGTGTATCAATACCTAAAAGAACCCGGCCCTGTGTTCCCAGCGCTTCATGTTCTTATATATATACGACTATCAAAATGTGTCTATATATATATATATATATATAGAGAGAGAGAGAGAGAGAGAGAGAGAGAGAGAAAGAGAGAGAGAGAGAGAGTGAGAGAGACATACACACACACATGCACTTCACTGTAATACCATAACGTATATATAACTTGTTATAGTATATNGAATATGAATCTCCTTTTAAAGAAATATGTTTGGAAAATGGCATTATTCACCAAACAACTGCCCCTTACTCTCCACAATCTAATGGAATTGCGGAGAGAAAGAATCGAACGTTGAAAGAGATGATGAATGCGTTGTTGATAAGTTCTGGTTTACCACAGAACTTGTGGGGGGAAGCTATACTTACAGCTAACTGAATAATCAACCGTGTACCTCATAGTAAAACACAGTCCATTCCTTATGAAAAATGGAAAGGAAGGAAGCCCAGCTTGAAATACTTCAAAGTGTGGGGGTGTTTAGCTAAGGTATAAGTTCCTAAACCTAAAAGGGTTAAGATAGGTCCAAAAACGGTTGATTGTATATTTATTGGATATGTAACCAATAGCAAGGCATATCGTTTTCTGGTTCATAAATCAGAAAATCCTGAGATTCACGTTAATACGATAATAGAATCAGATAATGTTGAACTCTTTGAAACTATTTATCCGTATAAAAAGGAAAGTGAAGTGACCTACCAAAAGTCAAAACGACCTCGGGAGGAAATAACAGATGGTATGCCTAATGAGGAAAATCCAAGAAGAAGTAAACGTCAACGGACATCTACTTCATTCGGTCCAGATTTTCTGACTTTCCTGCTAGAAAATGAGCCTCGTACATTCAAGGAAGCAATGTCTTCCTCAGAAGCACAATATTGGAAAGAAGATGTCAATAGTGAAATAGAATCCATATTGAGCAACCATACATGGGAATTGGTTGATCTTCCTCCAGGTAACAAAATATTGGGTTCTAAATGGATTTTCAAGAAGAAATGAAAGACGATGGTGCTATTGACAAATACAAGGCAAGACTTGTTGTCAAAGGATTTAGACAGCGAGAAGGTCTTGACTATTTTGACACATACTCGCCGGTAACAAGAATTACATCCATTCGGATGCTAATAGCGTTAGCCGCCTTGTATGATCTTCAAATCCATCAAATGGATGTAAAAACAGCCTTCTTAAATGGTGATTTAGAGGAAGAAATTTACATGGACCAACCTGAAGGGTTTGTGGTTCCGGGAAAAGAAAAGAAGGTGTGTCGACTTGTTAAGTCTCTTTATGGACTAAAACAAGCACCCAAGCAATGGCATGCGAAATTTGACCAAACAATGTTGTCAAATGGCTTTAAGATTAATGAATGTGATAAATGTGTTTACATTAAGAACGTTCCAAATCATATAGTCATTATTTGCTTATATGTTGATGATATGCTAATAATGAGCAAAGACATTGCCGACATTCAAGCTACTAAGCGCATGCTTGCTAGTAAGTTTGATATGAAAGACTTAGGAGTTGCCGATGTAATTCTAGGAATTAAAATCCAGAGGACTCCTCAGGGTCTAGCTTTGTCTCAATCACATTACGTGAAAATGGTACTTGAAAAATTCAAACACTTGGAATTTAGAAGTGCAAGAACTCCAATTGACTTAAATCATCATCTTATAAAGAATAAAGGTGAAAGTACGTCTCAATTGGAGTATGCTCGTGTGTTGGGAAGCTTAATGTACATCATGAACTGTACACGACCTGATATAGCTTGTGCAATAAGTAAACTTAGTCGATTCACAAGTAATCCCAACAAACATCACTGGGTGGCAATGAAACGAGTTCTGGAATATTTGGAATATACCCAAGACTACGCTTTGCACTACAATAAGTATCATTGAAGGATATAGTGATGCAAATTGGATAACCGGCTCAACAGAAACAAAGTCCACAAGTGGATATGTTTTTACTGTTGGTAGAGGAGCAGTATCTTGGAAGTCTTCCAAACAGACGTGTATCGCTCGGTCTAAAATGGAATCAGAGTTTATAGCTTTGGATAAGGCCGGCGAAGCTGAATGGCTTCGAAATTTCTTAGAAGACATTCCGTTCTGGCCAAAACCTTTTGCTCCTATATGCATACATTGCGATAGTGAGGCTGCAATAGGACGGGCAGGGAGCATTATGTATAACAGAAAGTCTCGTCATATACGACGAAGACATAAAACCGTTAGACAACTACTTTCTAGTGGAATTATCACTATTGATTATGTAAGATCAAAGGATAATGTGGCGGATCCGCTTACAAAAGGCCTAACTAGAGAGGGAGTTGAGAAATCATCTAAGGGTATGGGACTATGGCCGAGGACAAGTCATCATGGCGGTAACTCTACCTAGAATTTTGGATATTCCGAGATCTAGGTTCAAGGAGCTCAAACAAAGTTGTGATTGACCGGTTCAACATTGTCAAAGTAAAATCTTTGGTCCCTTCTCGTGATGAAGACAATGTTCAGTAACAAGGATAGAACTTTACACGTTCTTTAATGATTACCTAAGTTTGATGTGGTATTTATCGAATAGTTTCAATCTAAAGGATTACACATTTAGGAATCACCTATGTAAGTGTGAAGTGGAAGCCGCTTCAATGAGAATTCTGTTAGGCCAATTCTCTACGCACTTATGAAACCAGGCGGTGTTCATGGCTGAAACGAACACAACAATGAGAACCAAAAGACGGTTAAGGGTTGGTTGTGTGACATATGGTTGTCTAGGTATACACTAAAGTTCGACGGTTCAAAGATATCAAATCTACCGATTGACCGAGTATATCCGACATATGCTCACTACAGAAAGTTCAAAGGGAAACCTACTTATCCAGATGCAATTAATCCTTACTTGCAAATCACACAGCTTTCATCTAAGTTCATTTTTGCTACAGTCATTCCCATTCATGTGGGGATTGTTGGATTTTAAGCCATTGGGCTTTAAAGACTATAAGTGTGAATTGGGAATTGGTGGGATATAAAATGGAGGGAAATGAAAATTTGGAAAATTTGAATCAAGTGAGCTTTGTCAAATGAACTTTGTCCCTCATTGGTGAGGTACAACTACATTTGTGTGTATAAATATAGGATCACTTCTTAGAGCTCTTAAAAGGAGTTGAAGAGAATGAAGCCTCGCGCCGTCGTCGTCGCTCGGCTTCGGCTTCGGCTTCGGTTTCGGTTTCGGCTTCGGATTTGTCTAACGATCGATGAGATTAATTTTTTGACAAAGTTTATTTAATTAATTATTTAAGAATTAATTAAGTGCTAGTTAGTTCATTAACAGAATTAACTGGAATCCAAAACGCTAAGTACCACTCAGTTCATTAACGGAATTATGAACGTTGGTTTTCCCTTTTGAACAGACACCTCTTCCTTTCAAATATCTGTTCACATTATGAACAGACACACCTCTTCCGACAATTGCCTATAAATTCCGAGACATGGCTTCCTTTTCATACACTGAAAAATACAGAAATTCCTTCCTTCTGAAACTCTTGCATTCTACTTCGTAGTTTCTCTTTCAAATTCGTAAGTGTGATTTTGCTCCGTTCTTTGAGTTCGTTGGTATTCTGCAGTTTGTATTGCCACTGTTGCAGGAAGGTTTATTCCGTTTCATCCTGGGAGGATTTAATCCATTACCTTGGCAACTTGTGAGGGGGTTAAAATTCCTTAAGGACGGACAAGAAAATTGTGGACTCGGAATACTTCTTATCATTTACAGTTTTTAATTTCTTCTAACAGTTTTTCTAATTTCTGTTTTAACACAGTAGTGACAACACTATCCAGTAATTCCAATTGAATTTTACTTCTTATTACAACACGATCGACGGCTACAATTGAGTTTTTTTTCTTCTTTCTGATACATATGAGTTTATAAAATAATAATATGCTGAACAACACGTTCAAGAACATAATGACCATTCCTTGCATATTAGTGTGGTTGTCCAAAGATTGGAAAAATAAATTATGCTAGTGATTCATGCATGATGAACCCTAGCTAGAATTTTCAAAGTGTATGTGCATTATAATGAACAGAAAAGAAGTACTAGAGAAAAATGAAATTAATAGTAAGCTTAGGGCTATCATGTTATCTTCGAATGAGTGAGCATTTAGTAGTAATTGTAGAGCTATTAATATGAAACTTAAAGTCGTCCATAATTCCCTCTATTACTATGGAGAAAATTATGAGCACCAATTACCTTATTAATTATGATCCTTTTAATTTACCCTTCCCTCTAAAAAAGTTTTCAAGTAACATTGCTGTATTTCTTCTTCTTTTACCTTAATTTTCTCTAACCTTTTTATTTTTATTTTTATATATTTCATCACTGACTTGTTTCATGGGCGAAAATTTGGATAAACATGAATATATATAATAGGTAGTTTAACATGTCATTACTGACACAAAAATAAAAATAAATTCTCAATCAATTCACCACAACTAATTAAACTTTTTTTATTATAGAAATGATACAATAATGATAATTTATTAACAACAGCACTAATCTCTCCACCTTTCTTTCTACTGTTGACACTAAAGAGGAAGCTCAGGAGTTACACGTCCTTTCTGAACCGTTGGATGGATTCTAAGATCAACGGCTGGAATTCCCCCTCAGCTCTTTGCAAGAAGCCAGAGTATTATAAGCTCTTTATTCAGCTATATCTTCCAAACCAAGAAGAAAACTTAAAACACTTTCCTTTTATTCAAAGCAAATTTCTTTGCTGAAAACATTCCTTTTTTCTCCTTCTTCTTCTCTTTCCATGGAAGGTGGTAGTAGTGCTTTTCGTCCCTATCAAAATTTACCAAAAAATTACCTTGGATCAACTCCTCCATTTACTGCCATAGATAGGTTTTTATTGAGTCATGAAAATTATTTTTACCCTTTAAGTAGTAGTAGTAGCCATGCAAATGGAGTTTCTTGGCCAAAAAGTTTACCAGAGCCATGTTTTATTGAAGAGTTTTTTCTCAACGAACAAGAGAAGGGTTTAATAGAAGACGCGAAATCAGTCCAAAAAAATAAAAGGGAGAGTGGGAAAAAGGCAAAAGAAGCTTCTTCAACTTCAAATTATTTGGTCAAGGGTCAGTGGACTGATGAAGAAGACAGGTATGAATTTTCTTTTTTACTCCCCGAAATTCGTTTTTTTTCTTCTTCTTAAGTTTAACTGAAGTGTTATACTAATTTTTATATTTTTTGTGGATAATGAAGGAAACTGCTTAGGTTGGTAAAACAATTTGGAGTAAGGAAATGGGCTCAAATTGCTGAGAAAATGGACGCTAGAGCAGGGAAACAGTGTCGAGAGAGATGGCATAATCATTTGCGTCCAGATATCAAGGTTTTCATTTCCCATAAAAAAAATTCTGTTAATTTTCCCTTATCTTCCGAAGCGTTAAAATTTTTATTTGTCAATATAGCCTAATACAACCCTAAAAAAAAGAAGCTGTCTTTTGGCTCTCATGACCAAATAAGAGTGTTAAATTTTAAATAGATACATGCAAAGGTTATCTAAGAACTCAGAACTTTTCCATTTTTTTTTTTTTTAAAGAACTCAGATTCGCTCTAGATTTTGGGTGATGTTTAATCACTCAGATTTCCACTATCCATTTTTATCTGATTCAGTAACCAAATATTTTTCCAAATATTTTCAAGCCCCTTATTTTTGTTGTTTTTATCCGCTTAAAAAAAGTTGTTTTATTTTTTTTGTAATGAATGATCCCTCTATCAGAAAACCTTTTTTGATGTTTTTTAAGGACTAGAATTAACCTATAGAACTTCAGATGTATGTTTGAAGATTTTCTCTCCATTTTTTTGGTAGGGAATTAAAGCTTGGACCTAAAGTTTTGTTGTGAGGATGTCTTTTTCGATTTGGTTAATTAGTTTTTATGCTCTTACCTTTTTAGTCACAAGGATTTCCTCCAAAAAGGTATTTCTAGGGTTTGTTTTCTACTGTACATTTCTTTCATTCTTCTCACAATGCTTGACTGCTTTCAACCTCCATTTTCACGTGACTGAAACTTTTCTTTGACAAAGCATCAAAATTTGTTATAAAAGTGACTCCACCTCATTGGAAAAGTAATTAAATATGTAGATTTCTTGTAAATTATGAACATCTTCATTGTTAATATATATAGTATTTCTTTATCACAATTATCTTTTGATTTCTTTTTCTTTTAGAAAGATACATGGAGTGAAGAAGAAGAGTTGTTGTTAGTGGAAGCACATAAGCAACTTGGAAACAAATGGGCAGATATTGCAAAGAGAATTGATGGAAGGACTGAAAATTCAATCAAGAACCATTGGAATGCGACTAAAAGAAGGATGAATTCAAGGAGAAATAAGAAGAGAAAAAATCAACAAGATGACCAAAATGAACGCAAAAATCGCTCCAATATTCTCCAAGATTATATAAGAAGCGTGTGCTTCGCTGATGATTCTCCCCTCACCACCGCCACATACCATTGTGGCGGTGGTTTTGGTGGTGGCGGTGGATGCAGTTCCACCACCACCACTGTCACACAGAGTACTAGTACCATCACAAATGCAACCCTAACATACTCTGACGATGATTCTCCATCGTTTCTCACTCATCAAACATGTGATGAAGAAATGAACTTCATGCAAAATTTATTTGGAAAGAATTCACTCTTGAGTGACAATAATGGTACTAAAGCCATTGATCACTCTATGGAGGCAAAAGTAACTCAAAATCTTTTCGACAACAACTCATCTATCTCTAACTCTGCCTTCAATTCCTTTGGTGAAAATCTGCTATCTAAGGGTCAAGAGGCTCAATTACAGTATTCTCAACATTTTTGTCCTGACGTTTACCTTCCGTACCTTCTAGATGGTTCATCTTATAATCCGGAGTGCTTCGGATATGGAAACAACATGAATATGCAGATGAATCAAGCAACTGGTTGTTCTTCAGGAGGAAACAATAAGGTGGAAGTTGATTTAATGGAGTTAGTTTCATCTTCTCATTTCTCTCAAGGAACCTATAACAATACCTTCTTTTGATCTTATTAATGTCACGTTAGTTGTGCAAAATGACATTTGCTAGACAGGTCTGGTGGGATAGTACTGTTGTCTACTTATTTTATTTTTGGGTTTAAATCATGGATTATCATAATCTGGTCGCGGTGTGTTTTGAAATGTTTAATGGTTGTCGTTTATAGTTAGCCATTGATCGATGATCATGTATCCCTTTTTTTTTCTTTTCTTGTTTCTGTCTTCCTTGTACTTATAATAATATAATTCTTACGTATGATCAGATGAGCTCTATCCGATTAATGGATTTAGAGGACGGAAAGTTATACACACGTACCTATTGATTGTAAAATAACTAGCTTTTCTTTAACAATTAAGAAATACTCTTCTGGTTGGATTAAATCTCCAAACCGGTATTATTTTGTTACCTGTCACAATTCGTTAAACTATATTGACAACATAAAGGTTTTTCGACTTGTGTATATCACTTAGTAATCATATGAAGTACTAATTCGTGTTAACAAAATTCATATTGTTTGACAAATGCTAAGTGATCATACTATATATTTAAGCAACATTCCACGGAGAAATGTTGCCGATCACTTTTATACAAATATAATTTTAATCAACTGCCAATTAAACTACAGATAATTAATTTAAAATAGTTCGCTGGAATTGGTAATCTGAAAAAGGGATGAATAATCTACTAAAATGCATTGACAACGCAAATATCTTTGGGAAAATTATGCTATATACCCATAAAAGACAAAAAATTTACCCGTATCTCCCATCTTCATTTTTTTTTTCATTTTATACCTATGCAGCACATTTTTGTTTTACCCGCTCTACCCATTCTTACCTTCCTCATTATTTAGCATGAAAACTCGTGTTCTCAGATATTCATTTATGCATCTTTTTTGTATCTTTTAAGTGCATCACCATTCTTCAATATTTTACATCATTTTATCATAATAATACTAATTAAAAAATAATATAATGTAAAATTTATTAAATAATATGTAATACTATAAAGATATATGAACCTAGAGAACACAAAAGGATACTATTATTCTTATTATTTTATTTTGAAAAAGCTATGCATCAATGTTTACGCTCACACATTCAATAGCATATTTAGAAAGTAAATTAGCTAACATTAAATTTTATTTCAATACGTGCGTCTAGAGTTTTTTTAAGAAATACTATTTTTCCCAGCTCTTCTTTTCTTTATTTTTAGGTCCTTTGATATAATTTTTAATTTCAAAATCAAAAAATAAAATTAAATATAGTAGCTTATTATTCTTAGACTCATAAAAATATAAAAGTAAATACTTAGAGTACGACAAGAAGTAATTAAGAAAAATACTAAAATCACTAGCTTATTTATTAAAACCTAAATTAATAGAAAATATGTTCTTACAAATTTCCTTTTTCTTTTGTATATAAAAATAAATTTTATATCTTAAATATGACTCTATTTTTTTGTATTATTTCACAAGTAAAATTTGCTAAAAATATTATAAATGCTAAAATATTAAATTTAAGCTTAAACTTTATTTTTATATATTTTTTTTAAAGGAATGAACTAGTCTTCTATGATACCCTAACATTATATGATATATACCATATGAGTATCATAGATAACTAATGAGTATTTTTTGAAGGAATGAGACAGTCCTCTATGATACCCTGTCAGTATATATATTTACCAGTTTGGTATTACAAAGGACTGAGCTTTTTTTTCTTGAGAAATAAACAAATCCCCAATGATACCCTATCAATATCTCACATATGTATAGGGGTATCATAGAGGATTGAGGAGTATTTTTTTAAGGAATGAACCATTCGTTTAGGATAATCTGTCAGTATATGACATATACCATATGGGTATCATAGAGGACTGATAAATATTTTTTTAAAGGAATGAATGTAATGATCTGGCCGATCATTTTGAGTGTTGTAGCCCCGTTACCCCATTCACTGCTTCTTCTATGCTTAATTATTGTTAGGTGACTTGACAAGAAAGTTGATTCTGTTCAAGAGATGTTTTGGAATGCAATGAGACACTTAGTCTCAAGGTTGGAAGCTTAAGTTGAAAAGGTTGACCAGATTTTAACTTATGTATAAACGACTTCGGAATGGATTTTTTAATGGTTCCTATAGCTCTATAGGGTGATTTTGGACTTAGGTGTGTGTTCGGATAGTGACTTGGAGGTCCGTAGTTGATTTAGGCTTGAAATGGCGAAAGTTGAAAAATTAGAAGTTTTGGAAATTGAGAAGTTTGACCGAGAGTTGACTTTATGATTATCGGGCTCAAATTTTTGTTTCGGGAGCTGGAGTAGGTCCGTTGTGTCATTTATGACTTGTGAGAAAAATTTGAGTTCAATCGGACATGATTTGATAGGCTTCGCCGCCAAATGTAGAAGTTAGAAGTTCAAAAGTTCATTAGGCTTGAAGCGATGCGCGATTCGTGGTTTTAGCGTTGTTTGATGTGATTTGATACTTCAATCAAGTTCGTATGATATTTTATTTTGGTATATTTGGTTGAAGTCCGGGGGACTCGGGTGGAGTTCGGATGGTTAACAGATCAAATTTTGGACTTGGGAGATTGCTGAAGTTTTTCTGGTGCAGGGGTCTGGTTTCCTTATACGCGATCGCGTGGACAGGTCCGCCATCGCTTAGGCTTAATTGGGCAGCTGAGGTTTTTGTTTTACGCGTTCGCGAGTTGAGGGTTGCGATCGCATAGTTGAGTGAAGCAATGAATCGCGAATGCGTGGCTAAGGTTGCGTTCGCAAATAGGAACTGTAGCAGCAGTTGAAGTCACGCGCTGTTCATCGCGATCGCGTGAAGAGGGGCGCGATCACGTAGGTCTGAGGAGGCAGTGCTTCGCCTTCGCATGGGTATTTTTCGTGATCGCATAAGGTTAATTTGTGAGGCAGCATAGTTGTGCTTCGCGATCGCGAAGCATTTTTCGCTTCGCAATTAAGGACATCTAGGCAGAACTTAAATACTTCAAAAACGAGGGTTTGAGTCATTCTATAAAATTTGATTTTGGGAGCTCGGTTGGAGGCGATTCTTGGAGAGATTTTCAAGGGAGTGATTGGACTAAGTGATTCTTACTTAGTTTTGGTTAAATTTCATGATTATATCTTTGATTTCATCATTTAATTAGTGATTTGGGTTGAGAAAAAGGGAAAAAATGAAGAAAACTTCTTAGGCCGAATTTTGGGGATGTGAGCGAGATTTTTCTATCAGATTTGAATAATTTTGGTATGGTTGGACTCGTGGTTGAATGAATGTTCGAATTTTATAACTTTTATTGGATTCCGAGATGTGGGCTCAGGGGTTGACTTTTGAATTAACTTTTTTACTTTAGATTAAGCACTTAGTATTTTCTTATGGAATTGATTCCTTTAACTCATGTTAATTGTATCAAATTATTTGTGGCTAGATTCGAGGCATTCGGAGGCCGATTCACGAGGCAAGAGCTTGTTGGAGTAGAGATTTGCTCGATTCGAGGTAAGTAACACTTTTAAACATGGTTCTGAGGGTATGAAACCCCGAACTACGTGTTATGTGATTGGTGTTGAGGTGACGCATGTGCTAGGTGATGGGTGTGTGGGTGCATGTGCACCGTAAAAATTATGACTTGGTCGACTCCGTGGAACTGTATAGTTGCATGATCTTGTTGTTATCCGTATATTCTCCATGTGTTAGATAAGTTGAGCTGTGAGTCATGTTAGAAATCATGCTTAGGCTACATGCTGGTAATGTTGGGACCCAGAAAGGTCGCGTTGCATGTTAGATTTGTTACACCCCATGTTTTCGTACATGAAAGTATGCCATGAGTGAATTGATGAAAGCTCGGGAATGAGATTATATGGAGATTATAAGTATTATGCTATTTCAAGCAAGTGATAAGAAAATTCGTGAAGGTGAGAGGGTAATCAAATCGATGAAAATGAATTTCGTCGAAGTTTGGCATTTTGAGATAAATTACGGTCCGGACTATAAATACTCGGTATTTATGGACTAGTGCCATACAAGGTACCATATGACCATGATAGTAAGGTATATGAAGTGTGTTAAAAGTGAATAATATTCTAAGTAATTTGCGATAATTCTTATTTATGTGAATAATCGGATAATTATTGATTATTGATAGGGATTATTGTGATATTAAGTAGGATTAAGTGGATAAGGACTTTTTTGGGACTTCCACATGGCATTAAGCCAAGCCAAAGTGGCACTAATATGATGATGAGTCAAAAGACATAAGCTTCCTTGATTACACGTAAGAGTCCTTTGGATAGTTTAGAGAATAGGACTAGTAACGTTTCTTGTGTGGTCTCTTAATTGATAATAGGACTAGCCCTTATGTAATTTAGGGTCCTTGGTTTCTTATTTGATAATTTTGCTTGCAAAGATCACCAACATTATCAAAACTCATGTAAGGATCTAAAGCTACTTTGATCCAATATAACGTTAAGGATGCAAACTTTTTCAAGAAGTTTAAACAAATGGAACAAGACACATACAATCTTACTTGATTGTATGGCTTCTTACATGATAACGTTACTTGCCTTACCAGCAACGCTGGATAATTCTAACGAAGAAATTCTCAACAAATGAATTCATATGAATTTCACAATGCTACAGCAGTATGAGACGCAATTCGGAGGGGCGCGGTACAATCTTTCTCAAAAATATCATATGGATTTTCCCCTACTTTGATCCGCCGTTATGTGTTCTTCGCAAAAGACGTGTGTTAGAGGAATTGTCAAGAGAATCGGTCCAGGTATGTTAAGGCTATCTCTTCTTTCTTTTGGCATGATCCATACGATACAAACGAAACGTGCAAATGCACAATTTCCATACATGACTCTATTCATAGAAATATTAGAGATGCTTATGTTCTTGATTCCCCATGTGTCATATTATTCTATCATCTGTTCATGCGGTCTCAGAAAAAATACGTAAGTTGAAAAAGTTTACTTCATGATATTATTCAAAGGCATAATGGTCTTATG